TCACATAAGGGAGAAAATGAACATATGTAGACTCGTGCCTGATGAACAACATGGTTTTGATTATCTACCCATTCCTGCCGGTCATTGCCGAGGGCCTGGAGGGAATGGGACAGTAAGTAAGACAGAACTTAAGGAGTTCAAACCACAGCGTGGCAGGGACTGGGAGGAGAGTTAAGGCCTCAGCACCAGAAACAGATGACATAGCATGGCAGGATCTCCAAAGAGACTCAGAGCCCACTTGGGAGAAGAGAGGCTCTTTCCTTTTTTTGAGGACAGTGGGGGTGTCACAGCGAAAGCCTGCAGTCAGGAGGGAGGCAGGGAAGGGAGCAGGGAGCAGGTCTGTGGTGCCAATGCCTTAACACCAATACCCTTTGAGGTTAATTCACTTTGTAGGTAAGAAATCCTGTATGCCAAGTCCCAGTGGGTACCTGTCAGTATCTGTGAGCCAGGCTGGGGGAAATGCTGCCAAGCAATGGCTAGGTTCTGACATCCAGTCTTACAAAAAGGTTGTGAAATACGTTACTGGTAAATGAATTGAATGAAAGCTTAACTTCTATAAATCCATGAGCTGTATAAGTATGTAGCCACACATAATCACATACATACACACATGGACTGATGGCCATAGACGTACGGATGTGTCTGAATGTACACAGATGTGTGTATATATGTACAGAGTATGCACCTCTATGCATATGTAAATCAGATACGTTCATGGGTCATCACAGGAGGGAGCTGCTGAATAAAAATACAAAGATGAGTGTTATTAATAATCAGAGAAATACAAATGGTGGCCACAGTGATGCACTGCTTTACACTTCTTAGAGAAATTGAATCATCTGATAATGGAGGGAAGCTGGACCACTCCAAAAATGGCTAAAAATGGCTCCTGGAGAGCTTGGAGCATTTTATACAGTGTAGGGTATCAGAACATGGGGTCTAGCCTGGCCTCTAGGAAGAGACACCACTTGGTTAAGATATAGCCATCAGCATGGACTGAAACAATACTGCAATACAAATAAAGCTGGTGAGTGTTAGCATTCCTTCCAGGCTATGCCTACCAGTTACCTAGCAACAGCCAGGTAGGTCGGGCTTGCTATAAAGGGGACTATTGAGCCTCTCCTCTTCTCCCTGACTCTGACTTTCTTCTCTCTCTGACTCCTTTCTTTCTCTCTCCCCTTCCCCCTCCCCCGTCTCTCCACATGCTTCAGGCCACCTTCTCTTTCTCTCTCTGTCCTTCTCTGTCCCTTCTCTTTCTCTGCCTCTACTCCCTTCTCAACTCCCCTTTCTATGCCCCCAAATGAACTCTATTCTATACTAGACCTGTCTTATGACTGGTACCTCAGGGTGAGGGATGCCTCAGCATAGGCTTGCTGAGGTCCCCACTCCCACTGCACCATACCACACTCTACAAAGCATATCCTTGGTCTTTCTAAAACACACCAGCAAGATGGGATGTTGTTCGGGGATATAGCATTTGATTAGAATCTTTGAAGTCCTGGGTTCAAACCCTAGTACTGCAAAACAAGCACCCCACCCCTCGTTACATATGCTTCAATCCCTGAGCTCCTGTCCCAGACATGATACTTGGTCCTTATAAAGGGTGGTAACAATTACATAATAACGTATGGGAGGAGCTTATGCGTGTGGAATCAATTTGATGGGTGAGCCCAGGCAGGGGCTGGGAGAAGACAGCGAACTGTGTCCCAGAACCTGGGAGTGGAAAGCTGTTTTGAGGCTGGGTTTTGTACTGGGCCTGAAGACTAAGACCACAGTCATCCTCAGGTGGGGACAAAGTCACAGGGAGGAGGCTCTGTGCAGCTGGCACTGAGTTGCTTCTGTGGAATGCAAGGCATGTTAGGGAAACAGCTCCAACACTGTGTACCCAGCCCCTGGAGGCTAGGTTGTGTGAAGCCGAGACTTGCAGGAAGCTCTAGATCCCTGTCCCTGGCTCAGAGCAGGAGCTGTCCAGGCAGCAGCAGGGTATAGGTCTTCTCCAAAAGTCCTTTCCCATCACTGCAGAGTAGCTGCTCTCACCTGACCTCACTGAGAAAGCTGCATCCCTAGATGAACACCTACTCCGGGGAGACTGAGGCAAACATCTTTGGAGGCCAGCCCATTGCCTCTCAATTTCAACATGAAGGGTGGGGAAATCCAAGGGCCTGGATAGACAGTGGGAGGATCAGACAGGCCAGCGCTGGAGGTCTTGCTCAGCCACCTGCCACACTCTGTACTTCCACTTCTAGGCATGCCACCAGCTCCTGGGTGCAGGAGGTGTGGGCAGAGCTTGAAGCTGGTGATTCACCATCGGAGATCAGGCCATAGGGCGCTCTCCCTGGGGAGGCTGGGGAAACCCCTGGCTTGCTGGAACCTGGCCTCACTGCCCTAGCTTCCTTTCAAGTTTCCTGCCATCCATCTATCACACTGATTTCTGCCTTCAAAGCCAGATTCCAGGGATGTCTCCCTTTGACCTGCAGGTCCGTCCAAGGGGCTCACACATTCCTTGGCTCTCCCCTGCATAGTTTACATTCTTTTTCTGAAGCCCCTGTTCTAGGAAAGGAATACAAATGACACCATTCTGAAAAGCCTGGTCTTCAGAAATGTGGCTTTTAAATCCATTTTGCTGTGGTGGAAGGAAATGCATAACAAGTAAATACATAAATGAAACAAAAATATGAATTTGTTCTTAGCTATGTTCTGACTAGTGCCTTTTTACTCTTTAATTAGCACCAATTGCCTTTTTCATGGCTGGTTCAACAATTTGTGTGCATTATGTGTGGCTCACATCAGCTTCAGTACCTTAAGGACCTGGTTTAAGCATGTAAGCACTCGGACTGGCCGGGGAGATAGCTCAACCAGTATCATGCTTGAGGGCCCGAGTGGGAAGCCCTAGGCATCTACACAAAAAGCCAGGTATAGTAGTCTGCAACTGTAATTCCAGGGCTGAGGGAGTACAGATGGGAGAACCTCTGGGGACTCACTGCCCAGCTAGCCTAGGCAAATGAGTGAGCTCACAGTTTAGTGAGAGACCCTATCTCAAAAGAAGAAAAAGTGGCACAGTTTTAAGGAAGACACCCAGTGTCGACCTCTGACTGCCACATATACTTCCAGACACATGTATTCACACCTGAACACACACACATACACACACACAGACACACACACACACACACACACTCTTTCAAAACACTAAAATTAATTTTAAAATAACTATCAACTATAAGCGCAATAAGTTCAGCCACCCAGCGTTATAAACATGAGGATGTCACATTTTTCTCTTATTTAAAATGACTCTCCAGCCAGTCTGAAAATTCATAGCAGTACCCAGCTGTGTACAGATGCTCTCCCTAGGATTATCAGCTTTATAAGACTTTCTACCTCAGCCTATGACTCTTGTGTTATATCTCAAGCAGATTTAAGTATCCACTACCCAACCTCAACTCAGGCTTCGAATAGAAAGTCCTGAGATCAAAAAGAAGATGCAAAGAATTTTAATTTAGCAGAGTATTGAAGCTACTAGTTAAATATCCCTGGAGTTTCTAGAAACTTATCTATGAGGAGTTTTGTCTTCATTGGTGTGGTAAGATTTGCATCTTGAGCAAGTCATTAGGACTTTCAGGTCATGTTGAATTCAGACTTCCCCATGATGTAACAGCATACCTGCTGGCTTTCTGGAATGAACACACAGGATGAACCTGGTTCTGTGTGCTTCAACAAAGCCATTCACTTGCTGTGTGAACCTGGGCTCCTGCCTGCCCTCTGAGTTTAGAACTGCCTAATATCCATAGGGCCCTAACAGATCTCAGGGGTTTAAGATGGTCTAGGCAATCCCAAAGCTCTCAGGAAGAAAAGGTGTATAGACATGACGATGCTTGTAGACATGCAATCTTGGTGCTTGTAGGAAGTTCCCAGGAACTATTGGTATCAGAGCCTTTGGGAGACAAAGGTCTGGGGCACTGATCTTTCATCAGTGGATCATCTGTACTCTGAGTCCTGAACTGATTGGATTTCAGTTCTTGGCAGAAAAATGGGATGAGCAGGGCCTTTCTGACCCTTCCACTGTGCCTTATCCAGGTCTTTGGATTTCCCCCACCTCCCCACCCAATGGAATGGCCTCTGAAGATATGTTTGCCTCAGTCTCCCCTGAGTAGGTATTCCCCTAGAGATGCAGTTTTCTCAGTGAATGGGATAAACAGAGTCAAAACTCACTCAGTTATAGCTTGTGGTAGAAGAGTCTCCATCAGCTACAAGAAAAGCTTCTTTGATGAGGGGTGAGGGTAACACAGGGATGTAGGAATAAGGGAAAGTGCTTAGGATACAGCTAGAAATTCTACCGGTGTAGGAAAAGTAATAGTAATAGAGTCTCCTTTAGGGTCTATGGCCTCAGCGGACAGAAGCAGTTGGCTATATTTACAGTACCAACCACAAATCTCTCCTAACTGAGTAGATTTAGACAACTGTGTTGCCCCCAAGAAGTAAGTGTCACTATTGTAGCCTTGGGGTATCTTGCCATGCTTATCTCAGTTGTGGTTTGTCCTAGGAGTCATAGCTGGGTATTGGGCCCTAACAGATCTCAGAGGTTGAAGGTGGTCTAGACAATTCCAAAGCTCTCAGGTAGGACTATTGATTGCTTTCTCCCGTAAGGTCCCACCCCTAGATGAAGACTGTAGGTAACTAAAAGCTCCCAAGAGAAGGAGAGTCAGACTTCTCATAGGACCAGCCTCTGTTAGGTTATGCAATCCCAAGTGCTCACCCCTAAACACATACACAAACACATGTCAGTTCCAATTGGACTCAGCAGGAGATATAATACATATGTGTTATAATTATCGATACATACATATATATATCAATAATTATATATCAAGAAGAGCTCATGAATTTGATAGAGTAGGGAGGAGTTGAAAAGGAGAGAGAAAGGGACAGAAATTATGTGAATACCATACTCGAGTATGAAATTATATAAAAATATTTCTTTTCTTTTTTTTTTTTTTTTCTTTAAACCTTAGCTGGTGTTGGTGCATGTAATCTGCATTTGTAAGGCAGAGGCAGGAAGACCCTGAACTCAAGGCCCACCTGGTCTACACAGCAGGTTCTGGGGCAGCCACAGCTACACAGTGAGACCATGTTTCAAAATAGAATCCCCCTGCCCCAAATCCACCACAACCACCCGAACCTACACCTTAAGTTCCTCAAAGGATAATGGACCCAGGTACATTCTTATTTTTTCCTGTATCATATGATGGGAAATTTTCAAAGGGCAGCATGTATTCTATCAGCTAGCTCTTAGACCATGGGTGGGGAGAAGGGACTGGCAGAAGTTACTTCTGTCTCTGAGGTCCCTAAGGTGTAGGCTGGGATCCATGCTAGGCAAGTGTCCTACAGGCTATACCCCAACCCAAAGCCACCATCTTTTTGTTTTGAGACACGGTCTCATTCTGTACCTCAGGCTGGCTTCAAAGCACAGATTACACACACAAGCCATGATACCCAGCCACAGCCATTTCTGATAAATTCTTTCTCTTGGGGCTGCTGCTGGTTCTGGATGAAGGTGCGGCCTATTGGCAAGCCCAGTGAGCTGACCTCTAGCTCCCGTGTGATTGGACCCACTAAGAACAGAGTCTGGGGCCATGCACATGTGTGGAGGGACTTCCACTCTGACCCTAAGTGACCCCTGACCCTTAGTGACCTTTCAGTGTTGTTGTCTGGTGTTACGGGAAGAGCTCCTCACAGATCCTGCTTGTGTCTTCGGGTGCTGTCACTGTGTAGCCCACAGTTCTGGGGTCTGTGAAGATCTCATGGTCATTACCACCTGGCATAGTCTTGTCTCCGAAGAAATAAATGGTCTTAAAACCATCCTGTTCCAGGTGTCTCAGGCAATACCGCTTGTCCCATCCTTCAGGAAAGACATCGAAGCTGATTTGGCCACCTATGGAGAATGTGAGGCCTTTCCCTGCAAATTCCTTCCTCAGGTCTGCTACGAATTTTTGTCGTATATGTTCTTTTTTATCCAGTTCATAGAATTCAATTCGTTCTTCTTGGGTGCAGCTTCTTCCAATGGGGGACACATTCAACATGCCATTTCGGAATTCGATGAAAGTTCCCCTTTTCTTAGGGAGTTTAATTTTTGCAATGTAGCTCAGACAGTAGTTGATCAGGTCCTGGATCACATCCTCCCCCAGATGACCCTGGATATTCTGTTTACACAATAGCTTCCCATCTTTGTACGCTACCAAGCCATTCTCTGGAAACACATAATCGTATTTCTCAACCACATCGTTTCCCAGTTGCTCTTGCAGTTTCTCAAAATCTGACCCACCTACCACTCCAATTTTGGTCTTCTGCCTCAATTTTTGTAGAAAGCCATCCATTTCTTTTGTAATTTTCTGCCGCGGGGCAGTCAAGGTCCCATCCATGTCGAAGAGACAGAGCGTGGCCATTTCTACAGCCAGAAAACTTGTTGGCATCCGGAACTCTACCCGGAACTCCACCCGCATAAAAATATTTCTTAAGTATAAATTTTTTAAAAAGAAGAAGCCATGTGTGGTGGGACACTCCTTTGATCCCAGCATTCAGGATGTAAAAGCAAAAACTGAAGGAGGAGAAGGAGTAGGAGACAACAAAGAAGAAGGAAGAAAAAGAAGGAGGAAAAGAAGAAGAAGGAGAAAGAGGAGGAGGAGGAGAAGAAGGAGGAGGAGGAGAAAAGAAGAAGGAGGAGGAGGAGGAGGAAAAGAAGGAGGAGGAGGAGAAGAAGGAGGAGGAGGAGGAAGAGGAGGAGGAGGAGGAGGAGGAGGAGGAGGAGGAGGAGGAGGAGGAGGAGGAGAACAACAGCAACAGCAACAGCAACAGCAACTCTGTTAAGTAGGGGCGTGTTCCTTTACCAGCAAGATTGAAGGAGGAACCTGAGCCTTCTGCAGTGATTCTCCAGGCATGGCTGGTATGAGATGGTCCCATTGTGTTCACTTAGCCAGGAAAGATAAAGGTGTGTGGACTCAATGACCAGTATTTCCACAATCAGAAAGAAAAAGAGGACATAAGTAAATTATACAAATTACAATAACTTCTTATCATAAAACGCTTCCATTCTGTTCTCTGTAGAGGTGAAGGACGTTCCAGGAAACTGGCTGAGGACCAGTTCAGGGTAACCTAATGAGATAGAAACTTATCCCAGCAGGGAGATGATACCCAGACTCCTAGATGCTGGCTCTAGATCAAGGGCATCACACATCACTGGGTGTGAACGAAATCTAAATTATTGGCTTCCTGTTGTGTGGTTAGATTCTGGGCCAAGTCCTACATGACTGCATACAAGGTCTCCCTGGCACCACTTACAGGCATCAAGTCTTGACTGAAGAAGCAAGAGCTGGGGCCACAGCAGGCAATCATGGGGATGGCAGATCCTCAGTCTGTATAGCTGCTGACAGAGACAACCCCAAAGCCAAAGTCAAAATGTAAATGAATAAAAGACCAGGAATGAAGTAGCTGAGTCTTTGGCAGTGTCTTCTGTCTCAGGGATAGTGGCAGCAGTAGAGACAGATGGGAAATGGCCAGTATTATCTATGAATTAATTAGCAGTGTACACTGGACACCAGACAAATGGAAGGCTGAGTAAATGTCACAATATTGTGTTGCTAATGTGATAAATGACTCAGACAGAATGCTAAGCACGCTAACATGAGTATGACAGCTAATGTGTTTCACCGCTGTATAAGCTATCCCTGGAGTGATTTAATTTGGCATCAAAATAATATTTTAAACAGAAAAAGAAGGAAGGAAGGAAGATTGATTCACAGTTAAAGAGTTACAAAGCTCTGAGATTTACCAGAATAATAAATGTAATCACACTATAATTTGATTTTTCCATGGATCAGAAGTTGTTCTGCAACCACATTTTCCTTCTGTTAGAGAAATGGCCTCAGATGCACGAGGACTCCAATAATGAGCAGACAGATAACCTTACTGAACAAATTATTACAGATGACTCAAGAATAAGAAAGAGACATTGGCAAAGATGTTAAAAGGAAGTTAAATGAAGGTAACCAATCTGTGTTGATAACGGATAAACCTTTTCTAGTGTTGTAATTAATGACAAATGTAGCCAGCTGAGAAAAAGCCCTTTAACATCCATTGTCTTATTATTTAAAACAAAACAAAACCCAGACTCAAAGCAAGTAAAAAATAGAGGAATTATGAAGCAAGCTGGAACCTGGGTCCCGCTAAATCGGGTGAGGGTGATATTTCATTTCTTAGAGCCACTTTGGGAGGTTTTGTCCCTTTCTGTAGAATTTAGCAGGGGCGTTGATTTTCTGTACAACAGTAGCATGTAATGTCCTCAAAGCCACACTGTGCATCCATTGGTGGAGATGGATCAAATGATGGGAAATACCAAGAGTCGGTCACAAACATCCTGCTGTAGTAGTGTTCAGGTTTGAAGTATAGAACTAAGATGGTTCTAAGCAACGGCTCCTCTGGGCTCATGGCTTTGATAAAATATCTCAGTTGGGTATCAGAGTTTCAGCTGTCTTGCAGGCTGATGCTGCCCACATCCTCCTCCTGCCTCTTGTTTGCTGATGCCCACAAGAACCAGCGAAAGCCACTGCTCTCTCATCTCACCATGGAGACACCTTTGATGAGGAAGAAGGCACAGACTGAGGCTGGAGGCACGTAGACACTTCTGTCTGCTTGGGTGCGTTGTTGCTGTTACTTGAGACAGGGTCTTGTTATAAGACTCAGTCTTGAGCTTGCTCTGTAGCTTAGGCTAGCCTTGAATTCTTGATCTTCCTGGTCAGCTTCTTGGGTGCTAGGATTATAGGTATAGACCATCAAGCCCAGCTCTACTATGAACATACTTGAACATAATGAAGCAATACAGTTATGAAGCCATTTGTACTGGGTATTTTTCTCATAGCTGTAACCAGATACCTGACAAGAAGCAGATTAAGGGATTAAGGGTTAATTTTGCCTCACAGTTTGAGCGTAATGGTGGGGAAAGCATGGGGACAGGAGTATGTGACAGCTGATCACATTTTATCCATAGACAGGAAACAGAGGTGAATGCCAGTGTTCGGCTCATTTTCTCCTTTTTGCTTCAGCCCAGAACCCCAAGCCATGGGATGGTGCTACCCATATTTGTATTAGGTCTTCCCACCTCTATTTACCTCATCGGAAAAGCTCCCTCACAAACATGCCTAGAGCTGGTCTCCTAGACGATTCTAGATCCTGTCAAATTGACAGTGAGTACTAATCCTCATCTCCCAAAGTTGAGATAGAGTCTAAAATTCAACATTACTTTTCCAGATTCTGCTTTGGCTTTTGGAAAAGGCCCCTCAGTCCATATGAACCTCCATTGTATTCCGTGGAACAGCTAATAAGCAAACAACTGCTGACAAAAAAACAAACAAACAAACAAACAAAAAAAAAAACAGACCAGCAAAGGAGAGGAGCTATGCATGGAGCTGTGTGGGTTGACCAGACTGCATTTAGCAGAACACAAAGATGCATGCAAAGCCGGGCAGTGGTGGCGCATGCCTTTAATCCCAGCACTTGGGAGGCAGAGGCAGGTGGATCTCTGAGTTCGAGAGTTCGAGGCTAGCCTGGTCTACAGAGTGAGTTCCAGGACAGCCAGGGCTACACAGAGAAACCCTGTCTTGAAAAACAAACAAAAAAAAAAAACAAAGAAAACAAAGATGCATGCAAGATAAATTGAGATGTAAGTGGAATGTTCCAGGCACAAAGAAGAGCCATGTAAAGGCCTCCAAAAAGGAAGGACTATGGGAGCCCAGAGATGAGACTGGAGAGAGAAAGGACTGAGAGAGAAAGGACCGAGGAGAAGAAAAAATGAACCCCAAGGAGAGCCAAATCCAGGTCACCCTCAGGCCAGGGCACACATTTGGATTTGGTTTGCATTCCTTAGACTACCACGTTTACACTGCAAATGTCATGACTTCATCCCAGGATCTCACAAGTGGCTACAACGTGGGACTCCAGTGGCAAAAGCAAGAATGGAATCAAGGGGACCAGATATTGCCAGGGGCCTGACGTTGATATCTTGTGCCTCCAACCAAGATGGTGGAGACGGCGGTAGATGACTTTGTAAATATTTTGGAGAATGTGTTAGGATCTTCCAGTGTGGGGAGCGAGAAAGAAAAGTGATCAGTATAGGTGAAGGGTCAGACTCATGGGGGAGGAGACAGCAGCAGCTATCTGGGCAATGTCAAACTTGAGAATGTCATTAGCTTCCAGGGAGGCATCAAGAGTGTAGACAAACACTTGATCTGAAGTCTTGGGGAGGTGTCAGAGCCAGAGATAAAGGAAAAATTTGGGACTCAGCAGATAAGGTCACTTGCCACCAAGTCTGATGACCTGAGTTTGATCTCGAACACCCAGGTGGTGGAGGGACAGAATCAACTCCCTCAAGCTGCTCTCTGACCTCCCTATGAATATAGTGGTAAGCAAGAATTTACCCACGTACACATAAACAAGCAAAATCCTGGAGCTAAAGTATTAAGTGCTTGTGAGCCGCCCACCGTGGATGCTGGTAACTGACTGGATCCTCATAAGAACAGTATGAGCTTTTAGATTGGAGCCATCTCACCATCTCCTTCTCAACAGTTCCTGAAGCTCAACGGGGAACTTTTGTTTCCACAACAAGAGCACCGTCGTTCAGGGTGGTAACCTCGATTAGAGAAGAATGGCATCTCTAGTGGAAAACCATCAAAACTATCCTGTCTGTTTCCCATCCACCGTCATCCATCCACCCCACATTATGAACGTAACCGTGAACCCTGTTGCTTGAATGCCTGAGTTTGTTTCTTTATATGAAGGGTACCAATATGAAAAGGTCGATTCTCAGAAGGGAAATGGTCAGAGATGAAGGCACAACTTGCCTGAAAACAATTATAAGCAAACTTTCATCATTCTTCTTTTGTGGAAAAGGTTAATGGCATTTGAAAGCACTAGGAAATAAATTTCTATGCCCTGGCATTTTGCAAAGTCATTATTCCTCTGGCCAAATAAAAATGGCTGATGGTGACTGTGCTGCAGCCTTAGGCCCACAGCATAGGAAGAAGAGACCTGGAGCTTAAATACAAAGCCATTCTGATAGTCACGGGTGGGGAAATGCTACACACATGACCGCCTTGCCCAGGGATGACTCCGTCTAGCGTCCTTAGTCCTCCCACACCAATCAATGATCAAGAAAATACCCTCGCAGTATTTTCTCAGTTGTGGCCCCCTCTTCTCAGATGACTCTAGCTTCTGTGAAGTTGACAAAATGTTAATAATGACGACAACAACATCATCAACAACAACCAGGATGGAAATCAATGTTTTCATAATAAACTTTTATTTTAAAATAGTCCTAATGTTCAGAAAAAAAAACACAAAGATACCACGAAGAGACCTCATAGCCTCATGCAGTTCCCTCAACCCTGCCCTGTGGTTAATGTCTCATACTAGTGTGGTCCATTGTCACACTTGATGGGTAAAT